TAACTCTAAGGCTAGAATCGAGACCAAGAGAGCCCTGTATGAAGGCTTCATAGCACTATGCTTTCTAGCATAGAGTGTACTTTCTTCTAGAGTGTACATAGAAACGGGCATAAGGTGGTATCCAGGGGTCATTTCGTAGAAAAAGAGGTGCAGGAGCTCATTAGCATAACTTTTTTACATATGCCACACACCCCGACATCACCGGAAGTGTGTCAGAAAGCAAAACCCACCGCTCAGGCTCCACTGGACTGTTTTGGATTGCTAGCTATTGGGGGGGGGGATGTGCAGATCTGTCCTTGCAGAGGAGGGAGAGCTTGTACCTGAGTAAAACTTGGTCTTAAAGGTGCCACTGGACTGTTTTGGACCGGGGGGCCGGGGGGAGCTCTGCAACTTACCTGGCTGCTTCTTGCTCTGACTGAGGGCTGCTGAGAGCAGGGGGTGGGGCTTGTTGCATGTGCCCGCCCCCTGGGCTCTTTACTGCCGGAGCTCCGCTCCTGTGCGCTCCTGCAGGAAATGACCCCTGGTGGTATCACATTCTAGAGTTAGATCATGGAATTAAGTGAAATGGTAGTTCTGATTCATATAGTTTTATGTTACAGATGCTTTGGTTGGTGTTGCTAGGTTGCCATCACAGATGTGAAAGAGAATGTAGACAGCTTCTCACACCCACTCCTTCCCTAGCCCCATCAACCAACCCCTGCCCTCCTAACGTGCTAAAACAAATAGAAAGATTTTATTGCTCCACACAGAACGGATGGAGGTGGACAGTCAGTGGGAGTGGTGGAACAGAACTGGAGATGCTGCACCTGCATCCTTTTTCACATCTGTATGTCTGTAAAAGAAATTGATGTTAATAGAATGTTAATCTAGGTACAGCACTGGCATCCCCTTTGCCTTTTAATAGCTTGTTAAGCATGCTAAGGTGAGCGAATCTTATCTTCACAGTGTGTATTACTTCAGAAACTAGTGACACAGCAAAAATATATATTTTTATTTCCCTTATTCAATAAAATAGAAGAACTAGCTTTGATGGGTCTACAGGGTCAGAAGAATATTTGCTCCAGGCACTTCACTTCTCTAGGTATATCATGAATGTTCTGCTTTGTAAGTGCTAAGTATTTATAGTAAATACATTAGCAGTAGCAAACATCACCAAGGTTTAGGTTGTATTATCCTTTAATGTTTTTCATCTCTGTGGCTGGAGGTTTAAATCTCATACCATGATTATTGGGCAAGGGAGGGGGTGGAGCACCTTCCCATGAGGAAAGGCTGAAGAGTCTGGAAGTTTTCAGTTTCGAAAAGAGATGACTAAGGGGGAAATTATAGAGGTTTACACAATTATTCATGGAATGGAGACAGTTGGCAAAGAGAATTTTTTCTCCCTCTCAAAATACTAGAACTTGAGGGAATCCAATGAAGCTGATGGGCAGTAGATTCTGGTCAGAAAAAAGTTAATACTACTTTACACAGCGAGTGATTAAAATGTGGAATTCGCTGCCAGAGGATATCATTGTTGTTGTTTTTAAAATTTGTTCACCAATTATAAAAGACATTTAGGGAGGGGAGGAAATGGGGGAAGGGATAAGACATCAAGCTGTTATAATACAATGTCCATCTTAAACCTTTGTTTCCATACTTCTTTTCATTTATATACTTTCTAAATCTGTAAGCGCTTAAACCAGACTCTAAGTCTTCTCCAGCACCATAGTTCAAAAGAATCTATTCTTCGGTGCTCGGCCTTCCTCATAGTCCAACTCTCGCAGCCATACATGACTACTGGGAATACCATTGCTTTGACCATGCGGACTTTTGTTGGCAGGGTGATGTCTTTACTTTTTATTAGGCTGTTTAGGTTCGCCATCGCTTTCCTCCCAAGGAGCAGACTTCTTTTAATTTCATGGCTGCAGTCACCGTCTGCAGTGATCTTGGATCCTAGAAACGTGAAGTCTGTTACTGCTTCCACGACTTCCCCTTCTATTTGCCAAGGAGTGATGGGGCCGGATGCCATGATCTTAGCTTACCTGCTGCTGTTTCCTCCTCCTCCTGCTCTGTGTGGAGCTCTTCTCCCCCCCCGCGAGTATCGCGGGTTCCCTTTCGTGTCCTTATCTTCTTCTTCTGCGTCTTTATTCTCCTCCACTTTCTCAGGTCCCTCTTCCGCTTTCTGTTGTTGCTTCAGGAACATCCACTTTATTTCTTTCTTGCTGAAATTTTAAGTTCCTTTTGCAATGTTTACAGCTTGTCGCTAAGATGGTCATTTGGTCCAGTAGAGGGCGTAAAGCTGCAGCAATCGGTTTGGGAAAGTCTATGATTGCTTCCGGTCTGGTAGCCAGGGATGATGTGCTGGCCGTTCCGGTTATAAGTTTAGTTTTCGATGCCATTTATTCTGCTCGCTGAGTCATTGTTTACAAAAGAGGAAAGTTTAAAAATTCTCCGTAAGTCTGGTGATTTATGGCTTTCTTACTGGCCCGCCACACACTCCGTTGTAATCCACTTCCTTCAAGCTGCCCTTTCTGCCTCCCGCTTTAAATTCAGTCTTTTCGGGATTGGGCATTTCCTCCCCCTTCCACTTGTTTGGGGCTTTGGGATGGCTTTGCTGCTAGCATTTTATCGATTGTTTGCTGGGTCATATCTTCACTCATGTTTGTACTTGCGTTCGTTGCATATGTAGAGAGGATTGTTCCTTGGAATCCTTGTGCGCTCTGTCTGGTGTGCGCCTCTTGGTGCTATGCTGGCTCCATGCTGCAGGGGCCTTTAGGGGCAAAAAGGTGCCTCAATCCTTTGGCTTCCGCTTTGGGAGAGGCACCTCTCACGCCCCAGGCTGCGGCCCCCCTCCAGGGGGCCTGGGGGTCCAAGATCAACTCGGCACAATTGGCACGTTTGCAGGGTGCTCACATCAGAGCTACGATGGAGCACGCCTGCTTGTGAGTCGCCAAAAACCAGAAGTCCTGATGTTGTGTTTCCAGCCAATTTTTGGGCTCTCCTCTTTCATTCTTAGCAAGAGGCTCTTTAGGTCCTCTTCACTTTCTGCCATTAGAGTGGTATTGTCTGCATATCTGAGGCTGCTGATGTTTTCCCCAGCAATCTTAATTCCAGCTTGTGATTCATCCAGACTGGCATTTCGCATGATGTACTTTGCATATAAATTAAATAAGCAAGGTGACAATATACATCCTTGTCACACTCCTTTTCTTATGCTAAACCAATCAGTCATTCCATGTCTGGTTCTAACTGTCGCTTCTTGACCCTTATACAGGTTTCTCAAGAGACATGTGTGATCCACACAATCAAAGGCTTTAGCGTAGTCAATGAAGCAGATGTTTATCTGGTACTCCCTTGCTTTCTCCATAATCCAGCGAATGTTGGCAATTTGATCTCTAGTTCCTCTATCTCTTCGAAACCCAGCTTGTACTTCTGGTAGTTCTCTATCCACGTACTGCTGAAGCCTAGCTTGTAGGATCTTGAGCATGACCTTGCTAGCGTGTGAAATGAGTGCAATTGTACGATAGTGTGAACATTCCTTGGCATTGCCCTTCTTTGGGATTGGAATGTAAACTAACCTTTTCCAATCCTGTGGCCACTGTTGCGTTTTCCAAATTTGCTGGCATATTGAGTGGGATACCATCACCTCCACTAGCTTTGTTGTTAGTAATGCTTTCTAAGGCCCATTTGACTTTGCACTCCAGGATGTCTGGCTCGAGGTCAGTGATCACACCGTTGTGGTTGTCAAGGACATTGAGGTCCCTCTTGTATAGTTCTTCTGTGTATTATTATCTGCCGTATCCATTTTTAAAAGGGAATCATTGTTTCCTTACATTGTATACAATAATGAAAACGTTGTTCTATCTTCATAAAAAAATCAATAAAAAGGTGTGCAGTGGCTGGCTATGGGGATGGTGGAGTCCAGATAATAATAATTTTTAATGGAAGTCCTGGTTTTACTTTTAAAATGCTAACTTATCAATAAAAAGTAAAGGTAAAGGTTTCCCTTGCTTGAAAGCCACTTGAATCCAGGTCTAGGGTTGCGGTGCTCATCTCCGTTTCCAAGCCGAAGAGCCAGCGTTCTCCGAAGCTGTTTCCGTGGTTATGTGTCCGGCATGACTAAACGCTGAGGCACACGGAATGCTATTATCTTCCCTCTGTAGCGGTACCTATTTATCTACTTGCAATTTCTTGCTTTTGAAGTGCTAGGTTGGCAGGAGCTGGGGCCAGAGACGGGAGCTCACTCCATCACGCGGCACTAGGGTCTCAAACTGCCGAACTACAGACCTTCCGGTCTGCAGCTCAGCGTCTTAACCTCTGAGACACTGCGGCCCCCTAAGTTATCAATAGGCTGACATTAAATTGTTCAGTAATTTGTCAGGTTTTTGTCAGTATTTGGTCAGGTTTTTAAAAATTTTGGTCAGTAAAATCAGTATTTTTGATCCTCTGACTAGTTTCCACCCCTGATCTTGCAGCATATTTAAATTACCACATATTTTGCTGTCAAAATAGTGACATTTTCAGAATTTCAAAAAAATTAAGTTCACACCTGCTTGTTTTATAAACTCCAAACATTTCCTAAACAAGATAGCATTGTATCAGCCACCATAATCTTATAAGCTATTAGTGATATTAGGTACCAATGCAAGACACTCCTGAAATCTATCTACATAATGAGAAAAGAGGTATAGTCAGATATTATGTTATTGCAACAATCCTGTGTAATGACCCTCTCCTTTTCTTCTCTCCAGACTCTGTTGTCTCAGACATAACTAATAATCTTAAAATCCCAGTTTTTTACACTGTGTTAGCCCTAGATTTTACCACCATACCCCAGGACACCAAATGTGATCTTTGGTGCTGAGTATAATGAAAATTGGGAATGCTATAGTTGTTGGTTTTTTAAAGCCCATACTGTATACTTAAAGAAACAGCATTTCCCCCAAGCCTTGTTGTTTATGAATTGCTACAGAATGAAGCTCAAACAAGAATTTATGCCTTTTATTATATGATTTCCTCAGCTCCTGAAGAGAAAGAAGAAATTAAAGGGCAATATGAGAAGCTCATGGACAGTTATGGATGCTTAGGACAGCTTCAGTTAAAATCTGGTAAGTATCTGGTTGAAATAATCGTAGGATAATCAGATAAATAATCTGTGCATTAATCTTGTGTAACTGAGAATATTTTCTGATTGACCTTCGTAGAACATTAGTATATTGATTGTAGACATTGGAGAGTTTGATGTTTCATTGTACTGCAGGAAATTGTTAAGCAATAGAAGTTATTAGGTTTTCTTTATTGAACTTTCCATTGTTTATTAGTGTCTCCTGAACTTGAAAACAAATGCTGTTTCTTTTAGAAAACTAGTTTTAATTGTTATGAGCTGTAGTCCCAAGCACAAATATCATTCAGTGGTACTTGCTTCTCAGTAAATGTGCTAAGAGATGTCACTGTTGGTCTCGTTGCCAACTCCTAGCAGTCTACTTCTCTGTTGTTGCTGACTTTTTTGTATCCGTCAGGGAGATGTTTCTAGTCAGGAAACTCTAAAATTGCATCACCAGCACAACAGGAAAAATGATACTCACTGAACTTTGCCCTGACAAGTAGGTATTAAAAAGACAGAGGTAGGGCTGTCACTTTTATATGGATAAAGGCTCTGTACTTTTAACCTTGGGCAAGCCGTAGTTCTGATAAGAGCTGTTCTTGAAAAAAAGAACAGTTTCTGTCAGAACTCTCTCAGCCCCACCTACCTCACAAGGTGTCTGTTGTGGGGAGGGGGAGGGAAAGGAGTTTGTAAGCCGCTCTGAGACTCCCTTGGATAGTGAAGGGCGGGGTATAAATCCAATCTCTTCTTCTTCTTCTTCTTAACAGCTGCATGGCCGATGGAAACACAATGGGTGATGCTTTTTCTGACCTGGAGATGTGGTGGTGGTGGGAGAAGCTGTACCTGTTCTGTTATTGCCTGTCCTACAGCTGTTGAAAGCCTTTAAAAATATGACAGCCCTGGTGAAAGGATCCCTGTTTTCAAATTCAGTCGCTCTAATGAATAGCATTTTTCCCTTGCGAATTCATTTTGAAATCGTTTTTCAACCCAGCAGTTAACAGTGTTCTCCAATTAGTTTTGGTCACCTTCTTTTTTGAGTTTCCTGAACATAGAATTTCCAGTACAACAAGCACGGCTCCTTCCTTGGATTATATGTTGGAGTGATCTGTATGGACTCAGGTTGCTAAGTCTCTGCTGTGATATAGTATCTTCAGAGTTACTGGAACTGGGTACAGTCGCTGCAGTTTCTTTCCTCTGCTTTAATCCCTTTATCCTCTGCTGCTTAACACAGGCAATAGAGGTAGTCTGGGTGAGGAAGGCAAGTGCACCCAGTGAGGCGAATGGTTCAGTAGCTGCTTTGCCTTTTTGCTCCTTTGGAAACATGAAATGTATGGACATATCTCTGGTTAACGGCTTTGACAACCCTGATTTGGACAGAGTGAAAGCAAAGTATTTAGAGGATTTGGGGTGCATGCAGTGATTGGTGGGCTTTATTATGGGAAGCTGAGCAGAAGATACCATTTCTCATATCCCACAAGGGGAATGTTGGGGTCTCTAGTGGAAAACAAGGAAATATTAGTATTTATTTGTTTATAATCTGCATTTCTCACTGAGACTCGAAACAGATTACTCACAGTGAGTCAATACAATCAATATAATGAGACATCTAATAAGCAATGTACTAGGGTTAGAATTACAGAAATCTGAATAAGGATAGCATATGAGACAAAGTACAGTTACAATGCAGAAAAATGGTATTACAATATGAAACACTGCAGTGACAACAGGCTAATACATACAGCAAGTAGATGATCCATCCTGTCCACAGTCCCTTTTCCCTTAGAAAGCACCTTCTTGATTATAGTTAAGAGTTTTGAGTGTATAAATCAGTTTATGGTGCTATACATCTGAAGCTCAGCTTTGGCTAATGCATAATGTCACGGCTATCTATTGATTTCACAGTGTGCTTTGATTTTCCTTGGTTAGTTTCTTCCTGATTTAAAAGGAGGTTGGCACTTTTTAATTGTATATTTCTTCCAGCACATAACGTCCGGTGTATAGAAGGTGTTGATTCTCTGTACATAACTTTGAGAGGATTTGCCTAACTACTTGCTTCTTGTTGCTACAAACAACATATATTTCACTGATTGAAAAGGAACAATCTTTGAAATAAATAGGCCCTCTGGGAGAACAGAAAGCCATTGAGAGCATGCCAAGATTTTTGTTTTTTTTAACGACTGATGATAAAGAATGATTGTAGGAGTGGCCATAATACTCTAAACCCTCCACTAGGCATGGAACCCTGTGGAATATGTATTAGTCACAGTGTGTAGTCTAGACTAGCTTAAATCCAAATATTTGGCCTAGTTGGCCTATAAAACAGTAAAAAATGGAGCATGATTTAGCCAACAGGGCTAATCAAGTGGGAAGCATTATACAATTCAGAGCTGCAAATCGTTAGTGTCATTTGTTTATCATACTAGCCTCTCAACAGTGGAGACCAGCTGTTGTGGTGGGTGTGTAAGTGGGTGGGTAATTGAACTCTTCATTAAGGGATGAATTGAATCTACAACTTTTAATAGGAATGTTTCCCCTATTAGTGACTGTATTTAAGCTAAACTGGCTTGCAAATGCTTGGTTAATGATTATTTTAATTCTTTTGATGCTGACAGTATTGGAAAAGTAGAAATTACCCCTGTATTAAAAGAACTGTGTCAGCTGCCCTTCTGTTTTTGCACACAATTCAAAGTGCTTTTTCAGCCTTAAAGGCATCTAGCCATAGATATCTCCTGAACCAGTCTGCCAGCCCACTGAAATCTTCTGGAGAGGTTTAGCTTTGTGATGTTTTGATATGTTTGTAAGCCCCTTTGAGCATCAGGAGAAGCAGGATATAAACATTTTAAATAATAAAAATAAATACCTGAAGTAAACCTCCCTAATTTCCATCACAACACAATGATATGAGATTCCTCCGATGCTCTGTGTTGCTCTGTATTTGTGCTAGAAGGTTTTATGAAGCTGATCAACCAGGTTAATGTTCCTCAAAGGTCAAAGCATTCCCTTAGTTTGACAACTCAGGATGACTCATTAGATCACAGTGTTTTCTCCTGTTAGGAGGGGCTGAAGCAGAACTAACAGCAGTGTGTGTTCTTCTGAGCTTTGCCTCCATTAAGCTTTACATTAGTCACTACAGATTTACAAAATGAATTCTAATCTGTATTTATATTGGTGTATAGCACAGAGCATAGCAACCTGAGTGGTAGCCATGTGCATAATGAGTAAGATGCATCTAAATAGCCTGATCAGTATGACTGTATAGAAATTACTCTGAAGGTAAAATGTGAATTGTGTGTTTCTGGTATTTCTTTTAAATTCTCACCGTTTTAGGCCTATCTCTGTAACAGTGTTACAGTATATTCATCCATCCATCCATCCATCCATCCATCCATCCATCCATCCAATTTATAACCAGCCCGCCCTGCCAAGGCAGGCTCAGGGCAACTCACATAAAATATAAAACAGTTAAAACAAAACATATAAAATATAAAGTGTTAGTTTATGTCAGATGGTGGGCTTAGCAACATCTTCAGACAACAGCCAGCCAATAGCATAGTCTGAGTTAACTGGCTATTCACAATGATGTCCGTGTTGGGCCAGAGCTACAGTTTCTTGGGTGCGGCTCCCTAATCGAAGGCCTGGTGGAAGAGCTCTGTCTTGCAGGCTCTGCAGAACTGTAAGACGTCCCGCAGGGCCCTGATGTCCTCCGGGAGCTCATTCCACCAGTGCGGAGCTGCCACTGAGAAAGCCCTGGCCCTTGTCGCAGCCAGCCTGGCTTCTTTATGTCCCTGAGTGTGAGTATTCCTACAATACATGGAAGGTTGATGGGTGTCACTGACCAAAGCCAGAGAAGACTCAGTTCAGGACAAATTATGGCACAATATCTGTGGGTGCCACCTGCTTTTTAAGTAGTCTAGGATTTGGCTACAGAGAGAAGAAGGCATTTGTAACAAGGACACTGAGATCGTGGTCACACGGTCATTTTGATCGGGTTTGACAACTGTTCCCTATCACATTTAAAAGGGTTGATCAGACAGCCAATTCTGTCTCCCGTATCGAAGCTGATTCACCCCTGCAATCCTCCTGGTTTTCTAGCATGTTTTCTGACACTGGGAAAATCAAGTACTTTCATACTACTTGTACTGTGAATCCACAATTTCTCCTATCTGGACAGCCATCTCTCGCTATGAATGCAATTAGGTCCTTCCTTCTTGCGGTAGCCCCCCCCCCGGCTTTCACCGTTGTGCACATGACCAGTCCTGTGCTGAATATATTAAATGCATGAACACTCAAGCGCACATAAAATAGCGCTCGGTTACATGGCGCGGCAGTCTGGACAGTGCCTGGAGCCTCGTCGCGCAATGCAAGTGGTTGGGCAAATCACAGCATTTTCTTGCTTCTTAGCAGCTGTTTGGGAGAGCCCGGATTCTTCAGACCCTGGTCTCTGCCAAGTGTCTCAGTCCACCTTCAAGTATGCAACTTCCAGTTGGAAATTCTTTTTAAAAAGAAAAAAGAAAAAGAAAATCATGCTCCTCTCATGCATTTGTCTTGAGAAGAGGGAAGAGCATGCCAGATCTGATATGCACACAGACTGGCATTTGCCTTCTCTTGTGAAGGTCACAGTGCAACAGCGCAAGTTGGGAAGTGCAAGATGGTTTCTCCAGGGAAATCCTAGGATGATAACCTGTCTTAAAACCCCTCTGGAGTCTTATAGCTCCTGGCTTGCTAACACTAAAAAAAATCACTTGGTTCCTCTGAAAATCACGTTCTCTTCCCATCCCACCCAATGTACGCCTTTTCTCCTCAGGACCGACCCTCTGGCTTTCTTCTCCTCGAGGGGGGCTACCAGCATTAGCCAGGTGCTGCTACTCTCTCAAATAGCCTCCCCTCAGATGCAGAACTCCCCAGATGTCGAGGGACCCGCCTTAACCTGCTTATGAAGCACTTTGTTCTAGGGATGGCACCAATCAGTTACAGCTCCTCTTGCCCACCTGTCTGTCTGTCCAC